AAAACCTAAACCCTAAACCCTTTGAAAAATCTTTCTTCTGTGGAGTCAGGCAACAGCTTGCGATGGAAAACGAAGAAGACCAGGAGATGGAGGACTGAGCTGGGGCCGCCTGGCAGACTGAAAAAAGCTCGCTTATTAGGGGTTATCTAGGTGTTACATTGGGATTATATTGGGGTTATATTAGGGTTATATTAGGGATTATGTTGGGGTTAAATTGGGATTCTATAGGTGTTACATTGGGATTATATTGGGGTTATATAGGGGTTATATTAGGGTTATATTAGGGATTCTGTTGGGATTAAATTGGGATTCTATAGGTGTTACATTGGGATTATATTGGGGTTATATAGGGGTTATATTAGGGTTATATTCGGGATTATGTTGGGGTTAAATTGGGATTCTATAGGTGTTACATTGGGATTATATTGGAGTTATATAGGGGTTATATTAGGGTTATATTAGGGATTATGTTGGGGTTAAATTGGGATTCTATTGGTGTTACATTGGGATTATATTGGGGTTATATAGGGGTTATATTAGGGGTATATAGGGGTTATATTAGCTTTTTGGGGTCTCACATGAGCTATAGTCTAAAGTCCTTACATGGGGGATATATTTATATATATATATGGGGGATTGTAATGTATGGGAGTGTGATAGGGCTTATGAAGGGGGATACTATAGGGGGTGCTGTAGTTAATCTGTATGGGGAGTATGATAGCATTATCGGATGCCCAATTAGGACATCCCCATGCAGATGTGGTTTTCCGCGCAGGCGTTTAAGATGGGCCCCCAACATGTCGAGCTGATGATTCGGACTTTTTTGGGGAGTCCCTGATGTTTGGGGAAATCTTCCTGCCTCCTATGATGTTTGATACACGTGAGAAATGGGAGTTTCTGAACACCATCGCCGCAACAGCCCTAAAGTCCTAGAGGCTAAAGGTCTTCCTGCAATACTCTCAAAGGGCCCCTACATGGGGGTTTACCAAAATTACGGGTACCTTTTTGGGGGTTCCCATAATAAGGACTATAGTATATTAGGGTCTATATTGGGGTCCCCTTATTTTGGGAAACTACTACATCAATACAATCCCCGAGTACCTGTACTTTGAAGAAGACACCCTCGATATCTCCCCTTCAAACCCTAGACATTCCCACGTCGGCTTCCGGCTCGAAGCTCGCGATCCCTGTAGAGCCCTGGCCTACCCCTCACAAAGTGGTGGGAATTTTCTTCAGCTCTGCCCAGGCCCGGTCCAGTGTGTTTCTATTCAAAGAATGAGCTACAGTCTAAACTCCTTAAAGGAGATTCTACAGGGGATTCGGGCATTTTATAGGGGAGTATTATAAGGGTTACTAAGGGGGAGTTTAGACTAGAGTTCACATGGCTTCCCCAAAATGTGATGATTTTCTCTCCAAATCATGGGCCTGAGTCGTCGATGACCTCAACAAAGGCATCAATTCGCCAGCCTTCGTTGGGATTCACTGTAGTGGCTCGTCTAGGGTGTTGCTGTGGAAAGCGCGTCATGGTAACCATAAGTGCAAGCAAAGCAAGTGGCATCGGCAGGCCTCGATGCGCCCCGGGAGGAGGCAGCGACCAGATACCCATTCGCGAAAGCGTGAAAACGGGCGACTACCTTCTGACGCTATGGAAGTAGTTGGAGGAGCTGCTTGTTAATCAGGTGTCAGGTGCTGTAAGAAGCAATTGCCCTCGACTAGCATCAGCATGTCATCTCAGCGGCAGGCCAGGCATCACTTCAATGTAGTTTCAGGCACGCTTTGCAGGAAGAGGACTATAGCTCCATACCCTGTGTGTGCCTTGCCTGTTTCGGCTCCAGTAGGGGATTCCACTGCGCAAGCTTGCAGGTAGCTTGCAGCAACTCTTCGCAGCTCGTGGAGCATTTTGCTCGGAAAGCTGCATGTCGCGGGCGGGCTTTGGCATCGCTGAGCTCGGTGACATTTGTATCCACGTGTCCAGCTTCCTACAACTGGCCCAGATCGCCCGCTCTGAGGAAGCAGGGATCTTCAGTTGCAAAGATGTTGCCAGACTTTCATGGCACAAAGCCGCCCTGGCTCTGCTTGCAGAGGAACCTATCTGGGGTCCCTCAGGAGAAAGCGTGATCCAACAGTTGCTGGAATCGGGAGTGCGGGGCAAGCCCTTCCTGCAGGAAATGAGGTTGTTGCGGCGCGCGATATTTCCTCCAAAATCTTGGTCTCCCGCCATTCATGAGACCGCATTCAACAGCTTGAAGGCCGTTCCACAGAAGTTTTTTGTTTGACGTTTCCTGGGATGTACTTCTGATAGCAGAGTCATAAGCCTCGCAGGTGCTACCGCACTCGCAGACGGACGAAGGGGAGGGAGCTGGGGGACCACCCATGGAGGCCACCTGTGCACGGCGCAATTGCCAAGCTGTAGTAGCAGAGCACAGACTTTTCTTTGTGGATGGATATTTTTGCGATGCTCAGGCTGCTGTGCCCTTGACGGTGGGCACTCGGCTTGGGCGTCCTCTCGCAGTTGGGATTGAGTTGCAGCCCGACTCCGATGAAGGCTTGACATCCGCCGACATGCAGTGCGGCTTTTGCATCGGGGTGACTTGGCAGAGAAAACTTCAGTATCTATGAATGTCGCTCGTTATTGTGAGGATTAATTAGAAATAACCTGAGTCAACAAACATGAGGCACAACCTCCACAACAGGAAGTGTGGCTGCGTGTTGTCTTTGCTTTTTGCCAGGTAGAGCTTTGCTCATCCCTAGCAGATGGCCGCACCATGTCCGTGATGTTTGCCCCGTTCTCTGGACAGTGCTACATGCAGTATGGCGGCGAAAGATGTGTGATGTGTGCCGAAGTCATTCCACCGCTACAGCAAACTATCACGAAGCTTCGTGCGTGGGCACAAGTTGCGCAGGATGGCAGCATCTTCTTTGCTCGACAAATTCCGGGCTCAGAAGTCATAGAAGAGACAGGTCACCTTCCCAGAGAATGCTTACCGGCATGGACAGCAGAGATCTTCGCAGGCATGTATTTCTGGAGAGACCATATCTCGAAGGCATTTTCAGCAACTGTAGTTCATTGTGCCCAGATGCTGCCGGACGAACTGTCGGAGCTAGAGGGCTGCTCCAAAGAGATCGAAACTACCTGGCACTTGCAGAGCTGAGCTTCTTCGCCTTGCATGCCTGGATAAGCTGACGAGCTTTGCAGCTGGGAAACTCAACCTGCATTCTCTAGGCCTCTAGGCAGAGAGCACAGCTCTCTCAGAGGGGTGACGCAGGAGGCTATGGAACGTACTGTTCCTGATGTGGAGTGCAAGAAGCGGATCCATCAAAGAATTTACCAAGCTTGTGCAGCTTTTTCTGTGGCGACAAACCTCGAACTCGCCACACTTGAGGATGTGAGGCTCTACCATCAAGGATGATGTGTTGACGTTTTTGTGGTGTTGCTCCTTGGTTGAGGTAGCGGGAGAGCGTTGTTGTTTTTTGGTGCTTCTTTTCAATTTGTGTTCAAATGGAGGGAAACCGTGTACAAACCTTGACTCTAATGGCCGAGCCATTATGTGTCATCAATGCTTGCTATAAACTCGCAAAGCGGAGAAGTTTTCCCGCGTGCTCGGCCTTCGCGGAGTCACAGCCAAGATGTATGTACAGTACAATTGTTTGGGTGGCAGGCAGCTGCCTCAAATTAGAAAAGTCTTCCTCAGGGACAAGCGGCAGTTTGCAGTTCCCATCATCCTCGCAAAGATCGAAGTGCTTGAATCGCCGCTTCCTTGAAGCCTAAATGGCATGTGACTGCTGGAATGCAGCTTCAGCTGCAGAAGGCAAGACCTCTGACCAAAAGCTGTCAAAATCTTCTTTGCGAACGGCCTTCACTGCCTTGCTGTGGCAATATCTGATCTAGCTGCTTCTGTGCAGGCCATGCAGATGCAACAAGGCTATGGCTGTCAGGAGCACGGCTTGAGGGTTGCAAAGTCGGACAAAGTTAGGTTAGGAGCTGTGCTTGCATTCATCTGTGCTTAGGCGGTTTAGGCAAGAAGCCGCTCATAGCTGGCTCTTTCCAAAGAGGTGTAGATGTGGCAGACGAATGAAGGCTTCCCTGCAACTTTTTTCAGCCAACTGTTCGGAAGTTTGCACAGATGTAAGAAATATTGGGTTTATGTAGGGGTTATATTGGAGTAATAATGGGGAGCTATTTAGGGATAATGGAAAGAAAATGGAAACTATTTGGGGTTTAGGGTGTGAAGCTAGCTTGCGCACGGCTTCATTCCACATGTGGGTCTTCCCAAACATAAGGCTTTCCAAATCTGACAAAGGAAGATCTTTCTCATGTCCTCTACAACGTTATTCGGCTTGGGGTTAGACAGAACGATGGAGAAGCAAATGCGAAATCAATTGGAAAATGGGATTACGGGCAGCTCAGAACAAACAGAGTTATTACATGGGTACTGCCCCCCCTCACTAACAGTTGGATAATACTATATTATGGTTTTATATAGCCCTAAATAGGACCCCTAATATAGACTGTTACGGGGTGGGGGCAGTACCCAAGTTATTACATAGAGGTGCGCGCAGGGATGAACAGAAGAGGCATTACTTGAAGGAATGAGGGATAGATGTAGGTACAGTACCCACTTGTTCAGTGTCCCTTATCTGGGTAGGCCCCTGAGATATTTAATATTTTCCCTAATGGCTTTAGTAAAGGACCCTATAAACTAATATTTTTCAAAGGGTTTTAGGGGCCAACCTAGTTATGCACCAGCTGGCAAAAGCTGGTGGACCTCTAGGGCTCCGTTGGGCGGGTCACCCTAAACCCTAAACCCTAAACCCACATTCAAAATCCCTTCTCTGATGTCGGGAAGCGAACCCTGGCTGACACTGAACGCTTTAGGGTTTAGGGATGAGGGTTTAGGGTTTAGGGATTAGGGTTTAGGGTTTAGGGTTTAGGGTGTCCTTAGGGTTGCCCAATCTCACAATAAGATCCCCACATCCTCTTCAGTAGACTTGCCCAATATCTCATAATAAGATTCCCATGTAGACTGGCCCAATATCTTATAGTAAGATACCCATATACCCCATATCCTATCCACTTAAGGGAGACTATGCACAACCCTAAACCCTAAATAGTAGTCTCCATTTTCTTTTCCATTATCCCAATATAACCCCCATATTCTATCCACTTAAGGGAACCTCTACCCTAAACCTTAAACCCTAAATCCTAAACCCTATTCCACTTCAGGGAGACTCTACGCTACCTCGAACTTGCTCCCTGCCACGATCCCCCCTGGAACAACAAGTTCACAAAAGCTTCCCGCCCAAAGGCTTCATGTGAGCCAGAGTCTAAACCGCCTGAAAGGGGTTTTACAGGGATTATACAAGTAACTTATATATGCATATATAGGGTCTAGGAGGGGGGTTATATAGGGATATATATATATATTTATTTATTTATTTATGGTTTTAGGGCTCAGGGTTTGGGGTTTAGGGTCTAGTGTCTAAACTCCTGAAAGGGGGCTTATGTAGGGGACTACTATAGGATTACTTAGGGGGATACTAGGAGTTTAGATCGAATATGGTTATATATAGCCCTTAATAGAACCCCTAATATGGACTGTTACTGGGTGGGGGCAGTACCCAAAGTTTAGACTATGGCTCGTGTTGAGAAGAGTGTCTGACTATCCCTGCGAAGCCCTATAGAACCCTAGTTGCCATTTCCTTTTCTATTTGATTCTCCATTTTTTTGGTAACATCCCTATATATCCCCATACAACCCTATATGATCCCTATAGCTGTACATATACATATCCATATATATATATATATCGGTTTATATAATGTATATATATATATATGTATAGGATTGTCCATTTCATTTTCCATTTGATTTTCCATTCTTCGTGAGTTTCAGGTCGGAGCCGTGCTGGCGATGCTCTCAGGCAAGAAGATGCAGCAAGCGATGCGTGCCCCGGCTGCAGAGCAGGTGCATCCACCAGAAAGGCTGCCAAGTTATATTACTGTGATTCTAGCCAACACTCCCCTGGAATTTATAGTCCCAAAGCCATGTTCTATGTACTTAAGGGGGACAATAGTAGTTATAGTGCGAACATTCATCCTTAGATGACTTTTGGATTGGTTCTTCTCACATGGCATGATTCTGCCTATCGTGCATGCGCAGGCAGACATCCTGAGGCGCGGGCGACAGGACTAGCATGTCAATCACCGACAAACTGGCGATAACGACCAAGAATACTGACCAAGATCAGCTTCTTCTTGGTTGTAGCATTGTATGAGAAGAGCGTGGTTTTTACCTCATGAAGAGCAGGCTTTGCAAGCGGCGGCCTTCGTTGGCGCCTACAGTCCGGAGCTGGTCAAGTGCTGGCAGACAGCAGTTCGTGCTCTCCAAAGTCTTCAGAGAGACAGCAGAATGAGGTCCAGAGAGACAGCCTTTGAATGCAACCACGCTGATGCAAGTGTTCCAGGAGTTTTGTTTTGCTGGTTATTATTGGGATAATGGAAAAGAAAATGGAAACTACTATATCATAGTAGGGAATGTCTTGGGGTTGTATGTGGCATTCACCTGGAGTTGAGAGCGAACTGGTTCTTCTGCTCGTGGGTGCCAGGACGACGAAGGGGAGCTGTTCCCCCAGGAGGCTGTAGCTCAGAATGTCAGCCGTGCTGTCACTGCTCTGCTCTAGGCAAGAGGAAACACTCAAGTTATAACCAGTTTATGTCCCCTATATATAGGGTTTAGGGTTTAGGGTTTAACACTCAAGCTATACCCAGTTTATGTCCCCTATATAATTGTTGTTAGTGACAACACGAGCATTTCGTAGTACACCTACCTAGGTTCTGTTGAATGCCGTTGTAGAAGCTGCTTGAGTAGTCTCCCGCTATTGAAGAACGAGCGACTTGTCAAATGACCAGGACTTGCCGCGTTCGCAGCCCTTCGAGTACCAAGTTCATGCCGGAGTTCCGTGGCCAAATCCATCATTCTTTAGAACAGGGTCCTACTGTTGTCATTTTATTGGTCTACTATGGCTATCAGAATTAGCACCACTATAACGAAGCATGATGATAGAGCTTTGTAGCACGGAACGTTGTTGCCGAGACTTTCCAGTTCCATGTGAGGGTTTCCCAAAATTAGGGGTATCTTTTTGGGGGTCCCAATACTAAAATCCTAGTATATTGGGGTCTATATTGGAGTCCCCTAATTTTAGGAAACTGCCATGTCAGGCAGGCTCCCCCCGGACTGGGGAACTACATGGCTCCATAGCTGGAGCTGTGGCAGGACGGCTCAGCAGCCTATGCCGGGGTAGATATTGGGAGTGTATCAAAATGGCGAGTATCTATTCTAGAAGTGAGCCCTACCGATGAATATGAAGATTCTAAGCAGCTTATGGGTCCTTGTCAATGACATCGTATGGGCTTTGGTTGAAATGTCTCATGCTCCTTCCTGCGACGTTCCAGCTGGATGTTTGACTTACTGGTTCTTAGTAGGGACTAAGGGTATATTATATGTAAATTATATATCCTATAGGTATTAGGTAGGGATTATATTCCCTATTCCTTATATTATGTAGGTATTACACGGGGATTATATCTACCCATACTTTTGGCGGGAGCTCAGGAGCTAGGAATAGTCTATACCAATGTAATGAGGGGAGCTAAAGAGCCCAGGAATTTTCAAGACCATAGAGGAGATATTCTTCCCTATTAAGAACCAGCCAGTTGACAGGCCAAGGAGGCGAAGCAGTGCAGGGGCCCTGGCCCCCGGTCGCGTGTTTAGGAAGTCTTAGGGTTGAGGGTTTAGGGTTTAGATATCATAGTTTCCATAAATAAGGGACCCCCATGCGCTGCGAAGCAGGCTGGACAGCTGGCAGCTTGACTACCAAAAGCGCTGGAAACTTATCGCACTGTATCTCTGCATCACAGCAGCATCCCAGGGAAGGGAAAACATAGTCTTGAAAGTAAAAGTTATAACAATTGTAACAATAGTAGCAATAGTAATCGTAGTGATAATGGTATTAATAATAATAGTAGCAATAGTAACAATAGAAATAACAATACTAGTAAGAAGAAAAGGAGTAATTGTAGTAATTGTAGTAATAGTACTGATACGGTGGATACTAAAAAACCTGCATTACCCTAGGTACCTTATACCTTGGGA